GCACTTGCCGTGGCAACTGCTTCAACTTGCAGTTGGACATATCATGTGTTTAGAAGCAAACAAAATTCAAAAGTTGCAATACGTGAGTCCGTCTTTCAGTTATCACGCACATGACTTGAGGGTTTGGAGTCTAGGTGCAGAGGAGTGAGTTTGTCAGAGCCAGTGGTTTCGAGATTCTTTGCTGAAGTTTTCGCATCTGCGACACAAGCATGAGACAGCCACGTCCGTAACATGGCCCAGGGTGATTGCTTCCATGACTTCCGCGACTCACTTAGAACGCGACTCGGCTGGAACATACGTAGCTTTGCAGGCATCTTTCGGCAACACTGCCGCGGTCGATATGGCAGTCAGCTTCGCTATACTTGAGCGTTGAAAGGAGCGCCATTCCAGTTCTGCAGGTGTTTACTGTGAAATGGCACAGGACACTTCTGGAAGAGTCTTAGATGGTCAGGCCTAGCTTGGCAGGTACCATGATTTGAAACACTCACGTGGATTCATCCCTGGCTCCCAAAGCCTCATACTCCACAATCTGGGAACCACACCCCTCATCGGACAGCGGTGGGGCAGTTGGGTCTACTTAAAGTGCTAGGAGCCATGGCTCGAATCCAAATTTGCTCAGAAGGCGAATGCTTCGCTTTGATTTGCTCTTGTGGAGAACATCGGGAAACATCCCCAGCCAAGTATGGACTGTGTGAAACCTCAGAGCCTCCACTCTGGAACAGCCACTCAACCGTTTTAGACTTACACCCACCGCACCAAAAAAAAAGGAAGCCAAAGCAGCAGAAGTTAGAAACAGCAGCGCTTCCGCATGCCCTCATGGGTCGCCTGCTGGCAGACCTCAGCGCCGCCGCACAGCTTGCCTTGGCAGCACAGGGTTCAGCCACCCGCAGTTTCAAGTACAAGGTTATTAGTCAAAGGTGTGCATGGGAGTGTTCTGCAACTACAGGGATTATAGGGGTTATATAAGCGTTATAGGGTTTTTATAGATTGGGATAATGGAAAAGAAAATGGAAACTACTATATTCATTGTGGGCTCTTAGGGAGCTTCAGGGCCTGGCTTTACTTACAGAAAGCGACCATAACATCTAGGGATAATGAAAAATAAAATGGAAACTACTATAGCATATTGGGGCTCTAATTGGGGTTATATCGGGGCTATATTGGGATAATGGAAAATAAAAATGGAAACTACTAGAGTATATTTGGGGGTATATTTGGGAGTCATGGAAAATGAAATGGAAACTACGAACTCAATTCGAAGGCTTGCCATTCGCCCCATGCACTGCTTGCTGCAGCTTCTAGCTACCTTGACCACGTCCCAGACTTCAGCTGCAAAAACCAAATTCGGGAAATTTCTCGGAGTCATTGCAGAGCCCCGGAAACATTTATGCTTCAGAATCCAGTCTTCTAAGGACGCCATACAGCCCAACTGTCGCAGAAAGAACTCCCAGAGTGTGAACGACTCAGTCTCAGGAAAAGGTCTCCCCTGCATGCCCCAAGTGATACAATCCCAGTATTTGGAGTGGAATCACTGGTTTGGCCGAGCTGAGCACCAACTCCTGCAACGTAGTCACCAGTCACGACATCCTGCAAAGGATAAGACGGCAGGTTGAGGTTGAGGGAGGAGGCTTCAAGCTCAGGTGGTTGAGGCTTCCAGAACCAAGCCAGAAGGGATTGAGGTTTGCGGTGCAGGATGCGGAGGTTTGGTGCCTGCAGTGTGCCTGTCTCGGTCAGATATGAGTTAGATGTGTCAGTGCAGATACGGGCCCATGGAAAGTGTAGGCATCCTGGAGCGCAACGTGTTAAGTCCAAGGACTCTAACCACAGTATCATTGCACAGAATGGCAAGGAAGTTCTGAGAACTTAAGCAATCCAGCTTGCTTATACCCTTCAAAGCTCCAGGAGATAGCCCTTGCTGCTCCTGTGCCACCAAGCCGGTGATGGCGATCATGGCCTCAGGATTGGGGTGCGGATGTGCAAGGGTTGTGAAAGTGTGTAGGGCATGTATGATTTTACGAAGGCGCGTGGGCCGTGACCCTACATAGGATCTTGCCATGGCTCTACTGCAAACCGCCTGTCCGGCACATGATGACATGGCCGAATGGCACTGCCTTCCAGAATGCCGAGGACAATCGAATCGGATCAAGGCTTCACGGACTCCGTATGCTGAACATTAGAAGAAGAGGCGCGAAACATAAAGTTGAGCTGCTGAGCGACCACCGGCCAAGAGTGACAAAGTGTCCTCAAGTGCAGCCTGCACAAGGTATTGTATCTTTGAAGCCTTGGACTTCACGGAAGCGCTGTTACAATGTGATATGATGTCATCCCACGGAAACACCCCGACTCTTGCCGGACGTTGGACCTTAACTGAGGACACGGCCAGACGGCCGTTGTTCAACTCCTGGAACAAGATGGGGGTTTGGAGTGTTAGAGTCTTCAAGAGGACGTTGAACCCGTTTACATTCTGAGCAGGCGATACAAAGGTGGGTAGAGGGAAACACATGTGGATATTGCGGGCCAGGTCAAACCACAGGCATCCTGGCCTGCGGCTGAAGGCGCGCAAGCACCAAGCACATGTGGTTCTGACAGCTAAGGATGATAAGACCAGCAAAAGCGAGTGATAACGAAGTAATGGCAGACCCCATGGGATGTCGCATCTTAGCCCATCTGAACTAATAAGAACTAATGAATGAATCCTCACTCACCCTAACGTGCTGGTCTCTTAAAGCCTCAGGACTTACAGAAGGTAATCCACAGCAAAAAGAAAACCCCTGCGAGAAAATGCGCGAAGGTCTGACGGAACACAGCTGAGAAGTAAAGCACCTGTTCCTCACCCCCTTCCCACGCAAGTATGGCGAAGTAACGGTCAAACAGGCAAGCTCGGCGTGCATCTAAAAAAACAAAGCCGAACAAAGCTCAGGTCGGAGCTGCAGCAAGACCCTGAACCCCTAAAAATCATCAACCGGTGAACTTTGCACGGACATGCCCACATATAGTTCTATAGATGAATCTGGGGAACTGCATGGATGTCTGTGCAAATGAAGTTCTGCCTGCCTGCGCCTGGACGCGCTTCCAGCCGTTCCAGATCTCAGAGGGGTAGTCCTCGACGATGATGCCCTCACCGAAGGGAAGGTCACCAGGAAAAGTCTGGGTAGAGCAAGTTCGCATCCCCTCATCATAGCCCCACAAGTCGGGGAACCAGACCATAATGCGCCCAAAAAATACACCATGGCAACAAGGCAATGCCAAAACTCCCCGGCAAGTCAACCCTGCAAGCCTATCTCTGCCAGCCCCTCCCCCCATCCCATAAGGCCTTCCATCCGAGCACATCCCAGGGGCGGTCCTTCTTAATATAAAGCACAGCTTTAAAGAAAGGCTTGGGGTTGAGCGACTCGAATTTTGAGTTTGCTGACAGCTTTCTCACCACATGGTATCTAAGACCTCTCAGCTTCAGAAAACGGCATCTCTAAAGCAGCTGCTGCGTGAACTGCTTCTCCCAATGCCCTGCGCACCCCATCATCATAGCGCAAGCAGCAACCACTCAGAATCTGAGGTCTGTCTGGGGTTCGGCGCTCTTGGGCATTGGGCCTCAGGCTTGAGATTTGGGGGTCGGGGATCTACCACAGCTGCTCCTCAGGGGGCTTGCAGATGTAGGTGGTGAGCCACTCCAGGCACATGATGGTGAACACAACCTCCAGGAGCTTTACACTTCGGGTTTAGGCTCAGGTGGCTCGGGTTTGGGATATTCAACAAAAATTGGGAACTTGCCTTTGAGGCTTTGGAGCTCTGTGGGCTCAGGGATGCCTTTCAAACTTGTGGACCACTGCATTACCCCTGTCTCGGCTCAATATTGCGCATTTGCAAGCTGACCACCCTATGCGCTCGCTAATCTGCCAAAAAGCTGAGAACCGAGGGTTCACTGAACTATGACTTGTTTGTCTTAGGGGCTCTGCACAAGGGAGCGCAAGGCCCTATGACCATCTTGAATTCTCCTCTCACAGCTGCTGAAGATTTGTAGAGCCTTAAAGCTAGGCCAGATGAAATGCCTTTGATAAGAACTGTTGAGGGAATGCTCCCGACAGCCCCCCAACGGGGGCACCCAACGAGTGAACAGTCGCGGGCTGTCAATGGATGTCTCCTTGCCTCATGAAACTGCCAGGGGGCACCAAAGTAAGCTTTTCTTGCGAAACCAAGAAAACAATCTCAAAAAGTAGATACCTTCCGCACTCAATTTCCTCCAGATGCAGCGAATATGCTACCCCAACATCCGCCGATGGTCGTATGTCTAGATGTCCTTAGAACGGAATGATGCTGCACCTCAGTTTGGTAATGTTTGGAGCTAGCATAAACACCAGACCAGAAAGAAGGGTGTGGAGTCCCAAAGGCCCAGCCCGTTGGCCTGCCACATACCGCCCATGGGCAGCTGGGTGATCTGGCATCAAGATGGCATGGGTAATGCCATGATTGGACCCCCGTATCTTGAATGTACCTTTTGGGCCTTCGATGTTTTTGAAACTATCCCCTGGAATCCCTCACGCAGCTCCTCTCATTCCACCCTGTGAGGCCTTGAACATCACAAGCACTGTGGCCCCATTAACGAAGACTCTAGCGAATTCATGCACATGTTCCTGCCATCAGGGTAAGATAGTTGGCCATCAAGATGTGAAATTAGGGCTCTCCTGTAGCTATCCTCAGAGCAGAACGATGCTTTTGAGAAACCTGGCGTCAGCTGTCTCAGGTCTTGAGGGTCCATCCATGTGCTGAACAACGAGCTGAGGAAGAGGGTTTTCAGGGCAAGGCTGACGAAGAGCTCTTCTTGGTAAACGCAGCATTCCTTAGTGGAATATGATCTTGGTGTTCCTCAGAATTGCAACATCACCCCGACGCCTGCACCAAGCTGGGATCTTCAATAGTTGAGGAGCCTGTGGTCTACGGCGTCTGGCTTGCAAATCACCTTTCCGACTGGGCTGCACCCAGGGTTACAAACTCGCCATAGCCACATTCACCAGCGGGTCGTCGGACATTCTCTCACCGGCCTGCAAGTGTGAAGAAGACTCTGCATTGGCAAGCGCATACGTACTAAAAAGGTGCTTGCAGAGATGCCTACTACAGGCCCCTAAAGCCATGTGACCTAAATGCCATGCAGCGTAACGCCTAAGACATCTGCTACGTAGGTATGATTTACCTTGATCCCACGTTCACCTCCGCCTGGTTTGCTTTCGTGCTTTCATTTGCTACTCCCCACACGTTTTGACGAATCCGTCCCCCAGTCCCAGACACTGTACACTCCACGCCAGACTCATATGAACCATGTGGCATAGTCAAGGATGACCCACACTTGTTTCCAAACATGCAGCGCTCCGACTGTTTACCGACAGTATGGAGTCTCCTCATGCAAGCAACCTCAAGCGCAAGCATGATCGCGTAATTCTACACTAGTCTTCCATTGTCCCCGGACGTTCCATCGTATCCCCTCAATCTCCATAAAGCTCCCTTTCATCGCGACAGCGTAACTGCTACTTAGCGGCCGCGTAGTCGCCGAGGAGGTGGTATCCAGCGGCCACATGGAACCTGCAGAGGTTTCAGTATTTGCCGGCACGAAAGCTGTGCATCTTAAACTCTTAATGCAAATCCTGACGGTAGCCATGTGATCTCTGCAAACAAAAGCCCAGGAACCACCCCCTCATTTCATGCAACCCCCGATGCTGAACTCACTGAGGCCTGACCTCTAAAAAACCCTGAATCCCACAAGCATCAACCCCTCAACTTGGCGTCATTCTCACAATTGAGTAGCGTTTTTTTGATGGTTGAACCTAGTAAGATTATGATCCTTGTATAAAATACTATACCCAAAAGGAGGATACAATCTTACTCTATATTGGGTACAAGAATACCCCCAAATAAAATGCTACTCAATTCTAGGTCCCTTGAATCATGACAACTCATTCTTTCTGCGCCACCTAGCAGGGGGGAGGGGAGGTACAAAACTGGGACCCTAACTTTGGAAACTAGCCCAGGATTGCAAAGCCCTTGGGAACCGTCATCCTTTGTGCACTAAGATGGCACGAGCCCTGAGGAAGCCACCAGTGAAGAACTGCCAGCATGGCAACACGACCTCATCGAAGAACATACTGGGTGTGTCATAGGGTAAGCTCCTGAATACAAGGGAATTTAGCAGAATAGTACGCAGAGATATCCAAAGCACCTTGAGTCTACCGCGCGGGTGGAAGGTGGACCACTTCTGGGTTTAGAGCTGAGGGGGCCGCATGTAGCGGCAATATGAGATGCCATCAAGGCTAGTCTTGTAGTCTTAATATGTTGGGTTTATGCGGATAATGGAAAAGAAAATGGAAACTACAGGATGTAATATGGCCATTATATTCGGGATATATAAGGATACTGGCAAAGAAAACGGAAACTACTACTGTATAATACATTGGGGATATTCCCTACCTAGTATTCTTGGGAAAACAAACTCTCGTAAAAGGTGATCAAAAGGTCACTGGAGGAGCCCGTTGCATTCAAGGGAGGTTGACTGCATGCTCCCCTTGAAATCTACAAGCCAAACACTTATGGTTCTGCCTCGGACTCCCGTCTTCAGGAGGAAGTTGCTGGAGCGCATTTCAGATGCTACTGTACTGTCTACTATCATGTGGAGGCCGAGCCGAAGATGACGCGCAGAACCTGTCCTGATACAAACTTATGGGTTCTTAGTAGGGAATAAGGGAATGAATTATTAGCAAAACCTTTGAACAAATCCCCCCAACCTTTCCCGCCCAAGAGAGAGCAAGCACCTCTGATCGCGCAGCTTTAGACCCGAACTGCCCCACTACCCTTCTGCGCTATGCGGCACTATGCGCAAAACCTTATGGAGCTGAGACCCTGTAGACGTATATCTGAGAAGTTATACGGTACTTCCGACACCTCCTATCCCACACCCGGCAAGCGGGCGCACCGTGCTTCAGCTCGATAGCGCGATAGTTCAGGATCTCCTGGCAGGTTTCCGAAGGGAACTCAGTGATAGTCTCTTCCATGTGGGGTAGAACGATTTCAGCAGGACTAATGCCAGGCCAAGAGGTGTCCCAAGGTTCATACTTGGGAGTCGCCTCCGGGCGCCTACTAGTTACGATTGCCCAACCCAACTACGAGATTGCCTTTCAGGAATGCGCCTCCGTAAACCCCAAAAAGCCTAACAAGGCCCATTCCACTAGCAGCTCTGACAACCTGCTGTCAATGACAGGAAGATACTTCAACCTCGTCGGCTGAGTAGGGCCCACATCACCCATGGGCCAACAGTAAGATTACAAAGGACTCGGCAACTTTTAAAATGTGCCAGACTCCCGGACGACAAGTTCTGGTCCGGCTGAAGCCATATAATGTAGCAGAGATGCAAGTGGATTGACGTTTGAATGAATCGAGAATTGGGTCTTCTGGCAAACAAGATTGCTTTGGCGCAGGTCACCAACAAGGACGCGAGTGTCATGTTCCTCACCTCCCAGAAGCTATGCCCCCCAGTCCTTCTCAGTGCTTCGGGCAGAGATGCCAGCCTCAGCATTAGCCGGGCACTGCATGGGTAAGGTCAGTGCACGAGATTAAGCTTCGAGGTCGGCTTGGTGGGGAGCTTGTCGGTTGAAGCTTCGGTGTCACGGTGCCTAGCAGCATATGGTGCATTGCCACCTGTATCTATATCTCAACCAGGTTTTTCACATCAGAGAAAGCCAAGGGAAAATTGAGAAACAGAGTCCTTCCTGCTGTCCTGACCCTCAGAAGGGCTATGTGGCTGGCTTATCATGACCAAAACTCAAGAATGGCTCATAACTGTATAGCACCTCTCTCATCCTGTACGCTCCAGTAATCCTCTCCCCCAGTAACTACCCCCCTGACCATAGACATTTCAAATGCAGAACCAACCCATAAGGGCGGGGAATATTTAGCATACGGTTGGGCAGAGGTTCGGAAGTGGAGGAGGCATGTAGTGGGATGAAAAGGAATTGCATGAAGCCTAGATCAGAACGTGATCGGTGACTCGCCCAAACGGTCCACAAGTCACCTCTACTTGCAGCGTCAGCCTCTGATACTCTTTTGACTGCGCCAAGGCCCTAGCCTCCTGAAAGCCTGATCCCACGACACAGCCCAAAAGTACCAACAACGAACTCAGCCTTCAACATCCCAGCCCACTAAAACCCCTGAAACAAGGGCACCCAAGTAGATAGGATACCGGGAAGACTATCGTCACAGTCGGCTTTTGTGCTTGTACTCCTGTCCACTGGCCAAATGACTCCATGCCCTTACCTAAGGCCCCCCACAGGATCCCAGTACATGTCCGGCATCGGGCCACCGGTGCCAGCAATGAGCTCCTGCTTCCATGAGTCCATGGAGCCAAACTTAGGATCCTAAAGACCTGCTCCCAGTGTTGTCTCATCTTCCTCCTTGGCATAAATTATTTTGCTGTAGGAATCATATACGCCCCTTGACCAACCCTTAGTTTTAGTAGGAGAAGGGGAACATTGGGAGCAGTTCGTGGAGGCTCCTATATCTCAAGAAACATTCTTCTACGAAATTCGCAACTCCAAACCCGACTTTTGGCAAAAAGTCGACTTAGGAGGCCTGACACATTTGAGGTCCTAGACTCGGCCTGAATGAGATGCTGCATGCGAGATCAGGGACAATCTATCCATATACTACGATCCATAGCACAGAGGCTACGAGTTGGAATGGGAACCCCATCTGCTGGAACGTCCCAGGGTTTATTTGGTTCCACTTTGCGTGGAAAACTGCTTCAAGAAAGGTCCAAGTAATGAGAGCTTGCGGCTACAGGCGGTCTCGAGTTAGTGGAGACAACCCTGACCACAGGCAGACCCCTGAAAATGATCCTGCCGTCCATGATGTGGAGGTGACTCTTCGTTTTTCAAATTTTTGCCAACAGGGGAAGTGCATTGGAGGGAGAAGATTCATGGTCTTCCAAAGGACACAAGAGAATCCTTCTTGCAAAGCAGGCGCCTTGAGACCAAAGCCTGAACCCTGAAGTGCTTGAGCAGCTAGAACATCTGTTAACACTGAACAGAATCTGCAAATGAGGCAAAACTTCACATGGCAGACTCTGCTGCCTGTCATGAAGGAACGCGGATTTTTGTTTGGCCCAAACCTGTGTCCCTAAACCGTAAGCACGAAGACCTCAACTGCCTTTATCATTGACAAATAGCCAGCGCCTGGGCCGGGGTGAGGGCTCGAAGAGGAGAGTCGGTGTACAGGGACCTTGGCACTTAGGGGAGGTTGGGATAGAGGAGTCAAGGGTCAGGGAGCGTGGGGTATATGACTTCCAAACCTAAACTGCCCGCAGAAGGTTTGGTGTCACTCGAGGGCGTAGGGCTCTCAGGCGCACGGGATATGTCCCACAGCAGGCCATTAGGGCATAAACCAAGTGCACACGCACACCCACACACACCGAAGAAGGCATCACTTTGCGAAGCTTGAACAAGGGTTTGAGCGGGCAGCCTCTCGCCTGCCAGGGGTAAGTTGACACAGGGCCACATCATAACTCACAAAAAATACCGAAGCACGAAAGGTCGTCGGTCGTAGTTTCTCGATGAAGTTACTACATCTTGCTGCAGGGTCCCACCTCGTACCCCCCATAAGGAGGCCAGTAGGCCTTTTCGGTCCTGCGAAGTTGTGTCTAACTTGCCTCTTGCTCGTAGGAAATGGAGATATGGACGACGATGGCGTTTTGCAGGATCAGAATGTTGTTGTTTCTATCCTTATTTCCGTGATTCCCAACTAACAAGAAAGTTCAAGCAAGCCAGCACGCAAGTCAACCTTGAACTCTCCCACCCGAAAGGGCAGAGGCCTGGGCCAATCTCCCCATGCCTGTCCGGTGAGTCCGTTCTGGAAGAACATTCCGATGATGGCCTGGACTTCTCAAGGTTTTGGAGTGTAGGAGTCACCTGCTTACTGGATTTACCGGGGAGGCCCCACAAGATTCTGGCAAAGCAAGAGTCATACACCCATCGGTTGTGCTTAAAAGCAAAAGTCCTGAACCCGGCAAATGGCTACAGCCAGTTTCAGTACGACTGGTGGCTGATCAATGTGCTCGTGCTATCATCACTTCTAATACAGCTACCACGGCTGTGTTGCTGGCGAGCCCCTTATAGGTCTGCAAGGCGAGTGCGGTTTCCATCCCCTGCAAGCCCTGCTCATCCCTAAATCATACATCCTACTCGCCTCCCCCTCACAGTAACACCCTCTGACGGCAAATGTTCCCAGCACATCAATCCTGGAATGTCATTGTTTTTAGAAATACACGGCATCCCTTAAAGAGGAATCCCCATATGACCCCCATGGAAGAGCCCAGTTTTGATTTCATGTTTAGAAGTCGAGGGGCTTCATGAACAAGGGGAGGAGATCTCTACAAAAGCCCATAGAAGGCCTCGGTGCCCATGCCATTTTGCACTTGGTTTTCCTTTTGTCCGGTTCTTACTGGTGGTAGCAGTTGTAGCAGCAGCAGAAAAGAATGCGATTGTTGCAAGGGGGTTAATCTGGACCAATAGCTGAGTTTGGCGCCATCATCGCAAGACGGCCGTTCGCAATCTCAGCCGCCAGCTTCTTCTGCTTCTGATCCTGGGGGGGCAGGGCACGTCTAAAATCGAAAGGAGTATATAAGGATTCTGCAAGGAGCGCACAGCCAATGCACGCGAGTTATTGCGGTCACTGGGTGCCTCTGCTTTGCTGCACTTTCCAAGACTCCAGTAGCTATAATCCAGGCCCCAGGGTCAGAACACGCCAGACCAATTTGAAAAAGCAGTCAAACCTAAACGAGACCCTTGCACGCGCGGCTGAAGTGATGGCAATGCAAACAAGGTGAAGTACTCTACAATGAACCCATGTAAGCAACACCCGTCATAGAAGGACTGCAAATGATACGGGGAGCCGCACATGTACTGGATTGAGGGAAACGAAACATGTTCCAGATGTGGATGCCTTGGAATACCCTGCTTCCACGTATTCTCTAAACTTTCCCCATAAACCCTTTTGCATGCTATTGGGGCATTAGGGTTTGGACGGTATCTGAGATCCCAGCGGCTGGGGCCTTCATGAAGCCGTTGGGGATGCCCAGCAGGCCAGCCTAGGAAGATCAGTGCTGTGTGTGGCACAGTGATCTGTTAAAGCAATGGAAGTAGTAGTAGCAGTACTACTACTACTACTACTACTACTACTGCTACTACTACTACTACTAATACTACTACTACTACCACCAGTAGTTGTTGTTGCTGTAGTAGCAGCAGTAGTAGATACAAGGGAAGGCTACCATGGTGTGCGATCATGCCCTCGCCACCTTACCATCTTACGCTGACTAGGCCGGTCTAACAGGCAGGAGCTGGAAGTTATGAAGCCCCAGCGTGGGCCGGGATTTGAATTCCCATCTACCTGCATAGACACCGTTTTGAAAACTAGTCAGTTCCCACTCGAATACGTCGCGGATTTGCTTCCTGACTTTTGCCAGATTTTTCAAGCAAAATTGCTTAGGGTCCGGGGGGCTGAACGGGATCAGGCGTTAAGACTTCGGTTTAAGGCTTGCGGCTTGCAGTTTAAAACATCCGCTGTTGAACTGGCGCAAATGGATTTGCTTCATCTGAACTGGTTCTCTGAAACCCAAGAATACCTATATGCCAAAGCCTTGAATGCCCATGGCCCTACGAGACTCATCCAATTAAAAGCCAAATTCCCAAAGCACCACACCTCAAAAGACAGCCCTTCACTTAACTCCCTGCAACGTCAAGGCTTCCAACAAAATCATGCCCGATCGTAGTTATAGTAGCCACCAGAAGTCACTTCCATGCCCTGAAGTATACACAACATCTCAAAACAACCCCTGTACTGATATTTGCTGAATTTCCAAATGATATACGGTCTGCTGGGCGCTGGACGTTCTCGAAGTCTCCAGGAGCTCGCTTGGGATCCTGCTTCCCCAGGGCTTCAAGGCTTAGGGGTTGAGAAATGGGGATAGTGGAAAAGAAAATGGAAACTACTATTCAAGGTTGGGGGGTTAAGGATTTTATCCCAACAGTTGAACATCAAATGGAAAATTTAGAGTCTAGGGGTTCCCAAACTTGGTTCAGTCAGGGTGGCAATCTGTTGGACATTCATGAATGCGGCGCTAAGGCGATCGGGCATACTGTTAACTCTCCGGTTGGTGATGCAATGGCTTATCGCTTGCCTGCCCGAAGTGTCTAGCAATTCTCATGGCCTTAGGTCCATCTCCAGAAGTTTTAGGGTCTCAAAATCTAGCGGGAAAACGCTACTGCCCTATCAAAACCAGACATCTCAGCAACAAATCATATGGTTGCCTGTTGTGATTAGAAGAATGAACCACAAGGCTGCTCCTCAGGAATCCTAACAAATCTCTTCAACATGTAATGTGATCTAGGACCCTGACCAATTAGGCGCAACCTGATACAGACTCAAGGATAAAGTGGACCCAAATAAGAAGAACAGATTTTTGAGGCATACTGTACATGAATCATATCAGGATTAGTAGGGGATCATATTCCTTGATGAGCCAGGCCTCTACATTACCCTCATCAAACCTGCCAGACTTCTGTCTGCAGTCTACTGTTATTGTTAACGTTGTTAATGTTAAGCCAAGAGGCATCGACATACTGGAAGAGCTCCACGGATCCAGCAAAGGCAACCATCTGCGCCTGAGCCGACAGCTCTATCATCCTAGGTAGGCATGTTAAGAAACCCTAGTCGTTTCTATAGCCGTAACTATAGGGGAACATATTCGAAGCTGGTTGAAAGTTTATGCCTGCTCCATGTACTTAAGTGCGACGATATGCAACGATGGGGCCAAAGGCCTCGGGACGCCGACGGCATTCCAAAGCAAGGAACCCCAAGTAGCTTCTCCCTATAGTATAGGGGCCGAAATGACTAGGGCAACATAGTCCCTACTAGTAAGTTCCAACAAGCCCATCTGTGAACCCAATTTCCTGCAGTTGGCTAAATCCGAGACTCCGACCCATCCGGACAGGGGCACCTGCAGCAATTTTCGAAGCGCTCTCACGATGCTTATTCACAGAATGACCGGGATTCCCTTCTCAATTTTCTTGCGGCCGTGTCAGAGCTGCACAAGGTTCACGTTAGCAGGACTTGAAGTTTGCATGTTCAGGTTCAACGATTTTGCTTTCGCCTGCATCCCTTTTTAAGCGCGCCACTTGCAGTGATGATGTTGGCAGACCGATTTTGCTTCAGGTTCAGCGGGATTGCAATCCGAATTCTTGCAGTTGGCAACTTTGAGCACCAGTGGCTTCGCGAGGCTTGGGATCAAAGCTCTTGTTGATGGGATCGATTCAGCAAAAACACTGACCTGACCTGACCTTACACCCTGAATCCTTGAATCCCAAACCATGGACTCTGGAAGCCTGTGACTCCCCACAATCATTTGTCCAGTACAATCTTGCCCCAGCAATTGGGAATCACGTGGAAAAGACAACGGAAAACGAACTGGAAACTGGGATGATATAGCAGTTTCGGATGCAACTTTGTTGCGATCCCTAAGCAGTATTCATGCCACTGTATACACACAGATGCCTATCTTTCTAAATCCCCTATGCTTTAGCCACATTTTTGCTGCAAGACCTGCTACTGTCGTGCTCCCCCTAAACCCTAAACCCTCTCTGTCTTCGAGGCCTTGCTGAAAGCCGCGAAGCCAGTAGGGACATCGGTGAACTTGAGGCCAAGGGAGGGCCTGGGATATAGGTCCGGGAGGCAAATATTGCTGACTGATAAGCCCGTCTAACATGGATATGGTGAAGTAATGGCAACAAGGAGCGGTGAGGTATGGCAGTAGTGCTCGTGAAAATGGCTATAGTGACCTCGTGGAAGTAGGAGTAATAACAATCAACAGCAAAGACTCAATGTCATCGTGCCAAACACGCTGGGGTTGGGCTTGGAGGATACGGCCCTAGGCAGTAGGATGCAGCATTCAAGGCACGGAAAAGCGTTCCCCTGCCAGGCAGTCCCTGCTCCTCAGCTGTGCTTGCATCGTCGGAATGACTTCTTGAAACATGGGTTTGTCAAACCATGGGGTCACCCAGAAACTACTCCCTATGGCTGCAAGCAAGGATGAAGTTGCACATCTGGTGGGGCTCAGAATTGGGAGGAAAAGCCAAACTTGTCTTTTGAAACCTTATGAAGGCAAAGGCGTGGACGAGAGATCACCAGGCCAGCGGTAGTACTCCGGCACAATGTATCCAAGGCCTTAACTTCAAATGAAACATCTCCACTGTTGGTTTGGACTGAGGCTTCAAACGCGAGCTCTATTGGAGCTGTCATGCACGGAAAACGTCTTGATGACTTGTCTTTCAGAATTCCTCAACACAACACATGACCTGGTTTTGCGCCGTGTTTCTACTAGATTTCTGCTTGAAGGCAAGGCCAGAAGCACCCAGAATTTCCATAAATCCTCTATTGAGGCACTAAAGCTTGCTTGCTTACACACAAGTTTGTTATACGGGCCCGGCGTGGTCATAATCATATATGGTCGTGTCAACCAGGATTACATACTTACCCTCGCTGCCGAAGAAGAACATTTCGTGGAACCTTTCTTCTTCCACGCCTACATGTCACTTCTATTGTGCCGCGGATTCTTGTTGATGCTGTGGCGCTGAATAACCACTTTTAAAGGTAACGGTTACGGGCCCAGTACACTCATTGCAATCCAACTGGCAGAGTCGCACTGTCACTCGTTGCATGACACAGTGGCTCAAAAAAAGAAAAATCCGTTGAAAGGTGGGATCTTTGCCAGTGGATCGCGCATGGTAAACTTCCAAGTGATAGGTCATAGGCGCCTCACTCTGAACAAAAACCAGAGCAAGCAGTTACAACCGACTTCTTAGACCAAATCCCAGATATTCGGAAAGATTTGACTGTACAATTGGCTCAGTACAAGGCCTTATGACCTGGTGGAAAGACAAACCTAATGTTCCCTAGCTGAGGCCACCGCATGCCAACATTGCAACTCGGCCGTGCCTTACACGTCCCCAAGATGGATGCAAACACATTACGCAATCCGCGTCAACTAGTGAGTGAGAACAAGATTCTAAACCTTGAGCGCAAACCAGCACTGTTGATGCCGGCTCTGCCACAGCTGCTGCTGCTGCTGCTGCTGCTGCTACGACAGGACCAGCAGATGCAGTGACCAACAACCATGACAGTAACGAGCAACAGCAAACACTCCACGGCCACTGCATGCAAAGACTGATGTTGAAGAGATACTACACTTTGGCTAGCAACCGCATGAGGACGGACTGGACCATTGCGCCTTCAGACTGCGTAGCACGGGTGTCAGATAGTGCTGCTGGAAGGCCAGTCGGCATCCAACACTTAGGTCCCGATCCATATAGGACCTTTGTAGGAACTAAGTGTAAGTTGTGATCTAGTGCAGTTGCTGCCTGTCCAGAATACTGAGTAATTCAGACAGCGCGAACATCAGGGGCTGTCTGACTTGGCTTGCGGAAGCTTCTTTAGGGATAATTTAGGGGCTTTGCAGAATCATGCGCGCTAGCAGAGTCTGCAAAAGTCAGGTCTCTGGCAGATCTTCCAGGCATCTTGCAAGTTGGATGAAATCAAAGCGTGTTGCCTCTGCAATGCCTTATGTGCAGTTTTGTTGTCACATGGCATGCATTCTAACACGTGCTGCAGAACCCCCCGTCCCTCCCACCCTCTCGGCTGCAAGGTTTCTCAGAGTTCCGTGCTTCAGCTCCACATAGCGGCGGCGGCGGAAAGATGCAGCATCACCGCCTGCACAAGAAGTGAGGACTCACGTTTTCTCTACAGGCTTGTGAGTAGGGGAGTGGCAAGACAGCCCGCGTTTCAATGAGTCCAGACGTCTATGAGGATGGGTGCCTGAGGCAACGAACGGTATTACGTTCCGCAGAGCTCTACCCAACCATCTGACGAACATGGCTACTGCAGAAGCCAACACAACAGTAACAGTCAAGGCCAGCCTCAATGACATGTGTTTCGGCTACCCCTATCAAGCATGACATTTCAAAATCCATCGCGGGTATCTCACTGACCCACATGAAGCACACATGGCCGTGGCTTGCGATTTTGGGCTTTAGGGTCCGCTCAGACTTTTTGTTTCATCCAAGCTATCCTAAGCCCCTCAACGGAATCTTGACAATGCACCGGGGGCGCGCAAAGGGTCGACAGAGAAGTAAAGGTAAGCGCAATCAGAAGGAAACGAACCATATGCCCAATCCAACAGTCCAAACCTTCAAGTCCGATTCCTCATGAAGCAATCTGAACCGGGCGCGCTGAATAGCAACCCATGGGCTCTTCGGGCTCTTCATGCCAAATCCATTCATTATGGGGTCCTCTCGTATACACCCTCCGGGGATCACGGGTGTACGAAAGCATTCCAAAACTAAGACCCATGTTGTTGAGAAATTCATATAGAGCCGCTGTAGAGGGAATCGTCCTCTTTACAAGATTCGCGCATGGCCCTAGAGCCGCACAGCCTTTGGTGAAGCCGAGCGGATCCCAGAAGCCGGCAGGAGGCTGGCAACCAGGATTGAGGCTAGGCCCAGAGTGTAGGCGTTTACTGGGTTGCTGTTTAACTTAAATTGCCATAACATAGGTATACAGTGAAGTATAGGATTGCCTTATGTTAGCATTTTTAGATTCCTTCACAGCAACCCAGTTTAGGTTGTGGTGTTTGGGGTACTGGTTGCTGACCAATGTTTGCTTGTTGCTTTGGGGTTGGAAAGGCCCAAGTTTACAGCGTAGAGTCTATAAATCGGATGTTTCCCAAGGGCATTGGGGGTTCTGGTCCTGCTTGCACATAGGAGGAGTCGCTCACTGCATTGCAAGATAGGGGTTCACCAACCGGTTGACAGCCCCTGGTCTGCCCCAAAGCCCAAATAAGCTGCATCATAGTAGTTTCCATTTTCTTTTCCATTATTTTTATTACAATTAGTATTTCGATGATTACTATTATTGCTATTATTATTACATGCTACTATTGTTTTTGTAACTACGTTGCCGTGCTTGTGGCTATCGACCCTGCTTCCGCTCTCTGAAAAAATGAAGAGAACAAACCTCGGACACATGTCCAACGAAGACTGAATGTCTTTCAGAAAGTGGCCTGACTTCGTTCAAAGTGTCAACACCAAAGACATGCGCGGAGCCTTTCTAATCCTGCATCCTTCTCCCTTGGGCCAATGGGCGGGCTTGCGCCATCTGCAGGTTTGCTGGAGAGAATCCCAGCAGTGGCACCCAGCACTTCTTTGATTTGTGGTAGGGACGTCGGACGAGCACCTCGTCCAGCCAGCTCTTGGTGGGCCCATGGGTGAAAGTACTTGCAGGCAGTGCTTCATCATCACGCGCGGTATCCCCACAGTTTTGCGGTCAAGTTCTTTGTGGCTGAGTTTGCTGACACCGGGTGGTATCCCCACAGTTTCGCGGTCAACTTCTTCATGGCCGAGCTTGCCCCACGGTTTCGCGGTCAACTTCTGCATGACCGAGTTTGCGGACACCGGTGGTATCCCCATGGATTCGCGGTCAACTTCTGCGCGGCCGAGTTTGCCCCGCGGTTTCGTGGTCTACTTCTTCGTGGCCGAAATTGCAAATACCGGTGGTATTTCCGGTTTTGGAAGTAAACTTATCCGTCCGTGGCTGACCCGACACCGTCGTGCTATTGCATCCATCCACGGTTTTACAACCCACTTTTTGGTGGCCGCTCGTGTGTTCATCCCGTCCGTTGTTGCTAGTTGTGGTTGCTGTTGTCTGTGTTGCTGTTTTGGACTGGCACCTCAAGCCTTCGGGCCGCAGGTGGCGTCCGCTGTTAGGCCAGGCTATTGCCTTAGTCAATC